GACAGGGGTGACAGGGGTGACAATGGTCATGAGGCCGCCCAGCTTGCCCACGTCTGCGGGGACACATGGGAACACGTGGGGACACATGGGGACATGTGAGGACATGTGAGGACACGGGGGGACACGTGGGGACATGTAGGGACACTGAGCACCCCATAGGTGACAATGACAAAGGGGTACAAGGCCACCAAGCTCCATGACATCTGCTGGAGCGCATGCAAGCACATGGGAACCCTCATCACCCAATAGGTGACAATGACAAAGGGGACAAGGCCACCAAGCTCGATGGCATTAGCAGGAGCACACAGGAGCACCTGGGGACACTCAGCACCCAATAGGTGACAATGACAATGACGACAAGGCCACCAAGCACAAGGGCATTTGCAGGAGCACACGGGAGCGCACGGGGACCCTCGGGACGCCCCAGGTGACAATGGCAATGGTGACCATTGGTGCCAATGGTGACCATGCCAACGGTGGCAATGGCAATGGTGACAATGGCCATGGTGACCATGGCAATGATGACCATGCCAATGATGACAATGGCAATGGCAATGGTGACAATGGCCATGGTGACCATGCCGATGGTGACCATGGCAACAATGACAATGCCAATGGTGACCATGCCAATGGTGACCATGCCAATGGTGACAATGATGACAATGGCAATGGTGACCATGTCCATAGCGACAATGACAATGGTGACAATGGCAATGGTGACCATGCCAACGATGACAGTGCCAATGGTGACCATGCCAATGGTGACAATGCCAATGGTGACCATGGCAATGGTGAGCATGCCGATGGTGACCATGCCAACGGTGACAATGCCAACGCTGACAATGACAATGACAATGACAAGGGTGGCAGGGCCGTACCGGTGTCGTAGCCGTGGGGCAGGCGGGCGATGAAGCGGTGGGCGCCGGCGGCGCGGGCGGCCGCCTCCACGTGGCACCGGCTCTGCCCGCGCGTCCCCAGCGCCACGTTGTCGTGCAGCGAGCGGGCCAGGAGCGTCGGCTCCTGTCGCACGGCCACCACCTGCGGCCACCACGGGGACAGTGGGGACACCGCCGCCGTGGGGACATCGTGGCCATGGGGACACCACGGCCATGGGGACACTGTAGCGGCCATGGGGACACCACGGCCGTGGGGACACCACAGCCATGGGGACACCGCCGCCGTGGGGATACCATGGCCATGGGGACACCGCAGCAGCCATGGGGACATTGCAGCCATGGGGACACCGCCGCCATGGGGACACCGCAGCGGCCATGGGGACACTGCGGCTGTGGGGACACCGTGGCAGCCGTGGGGACATCGTGGCGGCCGTGGGGATATCATGGTGGCCATAGCGACACCATGGTGGCCATGGGGACACCGCGGAGGCCATGGGGACACCATGACGGCCATGGGGACACCGCAGTGGTGCTGGGGACATCGCGGTGGTCATGGGGACATGGGGGCAATGCTGTGGACACCGCAGCAGCGATGGGGACACAGTGGTGTTGGGGACACCATGGTGACCATGGGGACACTGTGGCGCTAGGGACACCATAGTGGCTATGGGGACACCGCGGCAGCACTGGGGACATGGTGGTGGCCATGGGGACACCATGGGGACATTGTGGTGGTGCTGGGGACACGGTGGTGGCCATGGGGACACCATGGGGACACCGGGGACCCCACAGTGGCCATGGGGACACCGTGGGGACATCAGGGGACCCTGCTGCGGCCATGAGGACACCATGGGGACGCCACGGCAGTGCTGGGGACCCCACGGCAGCCATGGGGACACCGTGGCCACCATAGGGACCTGCGGCGGGCATGGGGACACCCTGGGGACACCATGGGCACATCGCGGCGGTGCTGGGGACACCGTGGGGACATCAGGGGACCCCACGGCGACCATGGGGACACCGTGGCCACCACAGGGAGCCCGCGACGGCCATGGGGACACCATGGGGACATCAGGGACCCCGCGACAGCCATGGGGACACCGTGGCCACCACAGGGACCCCGCGGCGGCCATGGGGACACCCCGGGGACACCGCGGGGACCACGCTCACCTGCGCGCGCAGGAAGGGCAGCGCGTAGTCGCGCGCGTCGCGGCCGTCCAGGAGCAGGTGGCCGCGCGCCGGCTCGCGCAGCCGCTGCAGCAGGGCCACCAGGGTGCTCTTGCCGCTGCCCGCGGCGCCCAGCAGCGCCAGCACCTCGCCCGGCCGCACCTCCAGCGAGACGCCCTGCGCGGGGACCAGGGTCACTTCGGTGTGTGGGGACACCGGTTGGGGCGCCCAGGGGGCATCCACCATGGGGCAGCATCAGGGTGACACCCAGGGTGCCGCTATGTTGCATTGGCCATGGGGCATCGTGGTGGCAACCATGGCGTCATGGTGGCACCAGGTTGCATCAACTATGTGGCATCATCATGGTGACACCCAAGGTGCCACCAAGTTGTATCGACCGTGGGGCATCATCATGGTGACACCCGGGGTGCCACTAGGTTGCATTGACCATGGGGCATTGTGTTGGCAACCATGGCGTCATGGTGGCAACCAGGATGCATCACCATGGTGACAACCACAGTGCCATGGTGGCAACCACGGTGTCATGGTGGCACCAGGCTGCATCATCATGGTGACACCCAAGGTGCCACCAAGTTGTATCAACCGTGTCACATCATCATGGTGACACCTGGGGTGCCACTAGGTTGCATTGACCATGGGGCATCGTGGTGGCAACCATGGCGTCGTGGTGGCAACCATGGCATCGTGGTGGCAACCAGGATGCATCACCATGGTGACAACCACAGTGCCATGGTGGCAACCACGGTGTCATGGTGGCACCAGGCTGCATCATCATGGTGGCAACCATGGCATCATGGTGGCACCAGGTTGCATCAACCACGTGGTATCATCATGGTGTCCCCCAAGGTGCCACCAAGTTGTATCAACCATGGGCCATCATCATGGTGGCACCCAAGGTGGAACCAGGTTGCATCCTTCATGTGGCATCATCATGGTGGCAACCATAACATCATGGCAGCACCCGGGGTGACACCAGGTTGCATTGGTCATGTGGCATCATCATGGTGACACCCATGGCATCCCGGCATCAGCCCCATAGCTTCACGATGGCACTCAGGGTGTCTGCATCTCCCACACAGCACCACCTCCCTGGCATCGTGGTGGCCCCCAGGGCGCCCCAGTGTCCCCTGCTCCATCCCCGCGTCCCCCAGGCCGTCCCAGCGGCCCCGCGGGCCAACACGGAGGGTCCCTGAGGGTGGCACGAGGTGCCGCGGTGCCGCCCACCTTGAGCACGGGCTCCTCGCGGCCAGGGTAGGAGAACCAGACGTCGCGGAGCTCCAGGTGGCCCTGGAGGTCCCGCGGCGCCAGCGTCCCCGAGGGGGCCACCTGGGGCACCCGCTCCACGTACTCGAAGAGCTTCTCCAAGGAGCCCACGGCCTTGGTCACCTCGGGGTACTGGGAGAGCAGCACCTGGGGACAGTGGGGACACGGAGCGGGCAACGTTGGGGACATGGAGAGGGGGACACGGGGGACACGGAGGGGAGGACGTTGGGGACAGGGAATGGCACAATAGGGAGGAGATGGGGACACTGGGACAGGAGGAGGGGACAAGGGGATATGGAGGGGAGGACCTTGGGGACAAAGAATGACACAACAGGGAGGACACTGGGACATGAGGGGACATGGAGATCTGGAAGGGAGCACCTTCGGGACAGGGAATGACACAACAGGGAGGACACGGGGAGAATGACCCAGGGGGACATGGGGACACAGCGTGGAGGACATGGGGACATGGACGGAAGACCATGGGGACCTGGAGAGGACATGAGGACACAGAATGACACAGCAAGGTGGACATGGGGACATGGAGAGGAGGACGCAGGTAGGGGACATGGGGACACAGCATGGGGGACATGGGGACATGGACAAGGGGACATGGGGACACAGTAGGAGGCCATGGGGACATGGAGAGGAGGGTGCAGGGACCCGGTGCAGGGATCCGTGGTGGGGACACGGAGGGGACACATGGGGACCGGCCGGGTGTCCCGTCACCTCCACGGCCTCCGTGAACTGCATCTGGTAGAGGACGAAGGCGACGAGGTCGCCGGTGCTGAGGTGGCCCTCGGTGACCAGGTGGCCCCCGTAGAAGAGGATCCCCACGCGCAGCGCCAGCCCCGAGAGCTGGGGACACCGCGGGGACGTCACCGCGGGGGCGTCACCGCGGGGACACGGCCGTCCCGGCGCCGCTGCCACCTCCCCGAGTCCCTCTGTGCCCAACGTCCCCTGTGTCACCATGTCCCTCGTGTCCCCACGCCATCGCATCCCTGGTGCCACCATGGCCCCAGTGCCACCACAGCCCCGGTGCCACCACCAGGCCCCCCATGTCCTGGCTCCCCAAGCCACCACAGCCCCGTGCCACCATGTCCCCGCGTCCCCATGTCCCCAGTGTCACCACATCCCAATGTCACCACGTCCCCAATGCTACCTCTGGCCTCCTCAGCTCCTGCATCCCCAAGCCTCCATGTCCCCATATCACCACATCCCCATGTCACCATGTCCCTGTGTCCCCACATCCCCACGCCCCTGTGTCCCCACGTCCGTGTGTCCCCATGCCACCACGTCCCCGTGTACTTGTGTCCCCGCATCCCCATGTCCCCACACGCCCACATCTGTGCCTCCCCACGTCCCTGTCACATCTCCATGTCCCCACGTCCCCACATCCCCACGTCCCCATATCCCCACATCTGTGTCCCCACACCCTGATGTCCCCGGATCCCCATATCCATGCGTCCCCATGTCCCCACATCCCCATGTCCCTATGTCCCCATGTCCCCAGATGCCCATGTCCTCACATCCCCGTGTCCCCATGTCCCTATGTCCCCGCATCCCCACATCCCCATACCCCCATGTCCCCACATTTCCACTTCCCGTGTCCCCACGTCCCAACATCCCCGTGTCCCCTCGTCCCCATGTTCCCATGTCCCCACGTCCCCATACCCCCATGTCCCCACACTCCCACATCCCTGTCCCCACGTCCCTACATCCCCACGTCCCCACATCC